GGCAGGGCCGCCATCGGCAGGGGCCGCCCCGCGGCTCGGCGCGCGCACGCCGCGGCTCCAGAGATCCAGGGGTCCAGAGAAAAAAAATGGCGCGGGTGCGGCCAGTTTTTGGCTGCGCTCGGCCTCCGGGAGCCCTCCACGGGCCCTGGGGCCGTCAGAGAGCGACTCGGGACGATAAGAGCTGGCTTTGTGGAGGGGGCCCAGATCTGGACAAAAATGGTGCAATGTGGCCCGTTTTCGGCGGTCTTCGGCCTCGATGGGGCTGGGGCCCTCCATGGGCCCTGGGACCGTGAGGGAACGACTGGGGACGATAAGCTGGCCTTGTGGAAGGGGCCCAGATCTGGACACAAATGGTGCGGTGTTGCCCATATTTCGGCTGTCTTCGGCCTCGATGGGGCCCTGCACGGGCCCTGGGACCGACAGGGAGCGATTCGGGATGAAGAGATGGCCCTGGGGAGTAGGAGAAGGAGGAGGAGGAGGAGGAGGAGGAGGGAAGGAGGAGGAGGAGAGGAGGAGGAGGGAGGAGGAGGAGGAGGAGGGAGGAGGAGGAGGAGGAGGAGGAGGAGGAGGAGGAGGGGAGGAGGAGGAGGAGGATAGGAGGAGGAGGGAGGAGGAAGAGGAGGAGGAGGAGGAGGAGAAGGTGGCCCAGACCTCTGGGGGTCCAGGCATCGGGAAGATGGGAGGGCCAGATGTCTGGGGCTGTCCGTAGCGAGGCGGCCGGGGGGGGGGAGGGACTTGCGGGGGGGAGTGTCCTCCCAGGTCGTGGGGAACAACGGGACCTGGCCTCTTTGAGGTTTTCACGATGGAATCTCGCTTCGCCTCCTCTCTTCCTCTCTCCTCTCTCCTCCTCCTGTCTCCTCCGCGTCCTACTCCTCTTCCTCCTTTTTCTCCTCCTCCGCCTCCTCCTTCTCCGCCTCCTCCTCCTCCTCCTCTTCCTACCCCTCCTCCTGGCCCTGAGTGCCCTAGCTAAGCCTGTTTCTAGTCTACCAGCCAATTTTCCTGAAGTTCCCCTTCTGGACCGTTTGCTGCTTCATCAAGTCTGTTTCGATAGTCGTGTTCAGTTGCATGTGTTGGGGCTGTCCTCTGACCTCCTCCTGTCCACCTTCAATGCCTTGCGCGATCGCGATCATATTCCCGCCCCTTTGACCACCTCCCTCATGGAGGCAAAGTGTAGGGCTCTTGCCAAGACGGACAGCGCCGTCAGGAGCCTCCTGCGGTAGGCGGACACCCAGTACTGTTGGCCGAGACATAACATAATTAGCTGGGTCGTGTCGGCCAATTCTTCGACCTTACCCCTTGGTGGCGCTCTCTCCTCCTACCCCTCCCTCTCCTCGGCGTGAGGGTACCCCACGTCCTGTTGCTCTTGCGCTGGCGGCCAGGGAAGGCGGCCGTGTCGTGGACGGTCGTAGTCGTCGGGAGCCAAGCCACGGCCAGCGAGAAGGAGAGGAGCCCCCGCCGCCTCGCCGAGCGTCCTGATGGGCGGCCGTCTGCAAGGCCGGGAAGGAGGGGAGGGGGGCCTTGCGGTGTGCGACGGTGGAGCTGCGGACGCCGGGCAAAGTCCGGCGCCTCAAGCGAGTTGCGAAAGCCCCGTCTTGGCAGCCCCTTTCACGAGGAAGATGCAGGCACTTCTGACCAGCGCCAGGGCGCGGAGAGTCGGCGGTGCACGGGCGAGGAGGGCAGAGGTCCGCCACCAAAGCGCCCAAAGCGTCCTCCTCTTCCTCTTCTTCCTCCTCCTCCCCCGCTTCCTCGTCCACCCCTCCGCCCTCCTCCTCTCTCCTCGCCGCTTCCGATCACGGCGTTTGAAAGAGCTCTTGCTGCCGCTGCCGGCACGGGGGAGGCTCCCCCCCCCGAAAAAAAGAAACCTAGGGGGTCATGTTCCCCCCCCCCCGGAAAAAAAAACACCTCGGGGAAATTATTCAGAAAATTACCATCCCCCCCCTCCGAACATGATTCAGAAAGTCTGGGCCCCCCGTGGCAGCGACAACGACGCACGACGGCGACGCCGACGACGACGACGAATGCTACGAAGACGCCGAAGACTAAGATGACGACGACAACCAGACTAGAGTAGGCGTAGAGTATAATAAACATGAGTAGAGTAGAGGGTACAGTAGAGACGAGTAGCGTAGGGTGGGATTGCAGGCTCGACTAAAGCAGGGCAGAGTAGAGTAGAGACGTGTGGATCAGAGTAGAGTACAGTAGCCTCGAGTGGCGAAGAGGAGATGGGTAGGGCAATGCAGAAAATGGTATAGTAGCGCTGTGTAGTGTAGAGTAGGAGTATAATGTAGTAGAGTAGGAGGGAAGTAGAGTAGAGTAGAGTAGAGTAGAGTAGAGTAGAGTAGAGTAGAGTAGAGTATACTAGGGTGCGGCCGGGTGGAGCAGGGTAGAGTAGAGTAGGACAGATGAGAGGAGAGTCGAGGAGAGTAGAATCGAGTAGAAATAGAGAATGAGTATAGGTACGGTGATGTAATGTAGGGTAGTGTAGAGAAGGGGAGAGTAGAGTAGGGTAGAGATACGTAGAGCAGGGTAGCGTAGAGTAGGGTAGAGGAAAGCAGGGTAGAGTAGGGTCGAGTACACTTGGGCCCTCGTAGCTACTGAGAGAGCTGGAGTGAGCCCTCGTAGCATTTGTCAGAGCCGGCGCCTAGCGCTGGCGTTCTTGACAGGAGCGCCGCCGCTCCTGCTGAAGTCGTCGTCGTCGCCAGCGTCGGCGTCGGCGTCGGCGTCGGCGTCGGCGTCGTCGAGGGTGGGGAGGGGGACGGCTTCCGACACCCTAGGTTCCTCCCGCAAGGGAGAGGTTCCGAAGGGGAGGGCCCCCCTAGTTTCCGACCCCCCTATTCCCTTGCTGAAAGAAAGTGCTCAGGTCAACGACAGTGGATCGAGTTCCCTCCGGCGTTTCCTCCTTGCCCTCTGCGAGAGGAGTAGTCTTTATCCTTCCTGAGGAAGCCTTGCAAAGGTGTCTGTGCTCAGGAGCGGTGACTGAAAGGATCCTAAATGGGAAACTCTGAACGCAATACGACCCAAGGAGCGCATAGTCAAGATACCCTTATTGAACTGATCCGTATTTCATGAGTCTGTGCTAAAAGAATCCTGATTACAAGAATCCGCACTCGGGAACTGAGTAGAAACCATCCTGAGGAACCAATGCGACAGGAATCCGATCCAAAGGCTTGTGCACATAATCGTGTTTTAATGAAGCATTCCTACGGGGTTCTTGCTGCAGGAACTCTTCAGGATAAGCCCTCACTTAAGGAGCCATTTTGTTTCCATAAGTTATAATGAAATCATTGCCCTTGTAATGGTTACTCCTGCTGGTGGGTTTTCCAATGTTGTCTAGAGCTCCAGCCTGTATCGTAGAAAGTCATTTCAGATTTCACTGCGGAAGAGTTCATGCTGGTCAGAGGTCGTTCAGTAAGGATTCCCCAGCAAGGAATGCTCCATGAGGTTTTTCGAACTCGAGATCCCTTCAGTAAGGATTCGTCATTCAGGATTCTGGACTCACGAATAAGGATTGCATCAACAAGGTTGGGTTTAGCAGGGATCCCCCTTGTCATTTGAATTCCTGCAGTAAGGTGTTCCTGGCCCAACATCCTGGTCTACGTTCGCCTGTGATACTTCTTCAGTGTGGAGTCATTCATCAAAGGGTCCTTTGGTGAGGATTCGTTTAGCCACGATCCCTTGTGGTAAGGAGTTCCTCGCTCTCCCCTCCCCCCTGTCTCCCTCTATCCTCTCCCTGGGGAGGGGAGTTGGCGGGTGGAAGGTTTCAGGCGCGCGAAAAAAACGGTCCGGTGCTGTTTTTTGTTATCCAACGTTTGTTTCGCACCTGGAATTTCCCCCCCAGAAGCCGGGGAGGGAGGGAGGGATCAATTTTCCCCCTTATCGTCATCATTTTTCTGACCGGTTGGCGGGGGGAAAAGGCTCCCTGGATTACAAACACCTGCACGGTGATCCCAGTGTGCCATTTTTCAGGGATGCGGGGCTTGAAGCAAAGCCACCAGTGGATCGACTGGCGCCCGTTTTCGCGTTCCTGGAACCGGCTCCCCCCCAGGCCAGGGAGTTAATCCTCATCCAGCCAGGCATCATGTCAATATCGAATGGGCTTCGGCCCATCCCGCCACCGCGCATGGTTGTCGAGTCAGGGTCCTCAGGGATGCTTCTTGGGGTCTCTTCGGAGCGTTTTCGGGGGCCTCTGGGGGGCAGTTTGGGGGCCTCGTGGGAGCCTCTGGAGGCACCTCGGGGGCGTCTTGTGGCCTCTTGAAACTCCCTGGGGGCGTCTTCGGGGGTTTCTGGGGCCTCTTGGGGGTTTCTTGGGGGCCTCTTGTTGCCTCCTGGGGGCCTCTCGGGGCCAAGGGCTTGAAATGTCCGTTCGGGTCCCCCGCGTCTGGGCCGCCTGTCGGAGCCGTCTTGGGGACCTATTGGGCCGTCTTGGAGACCGTCTTGGAGCCCTCTTGGGCCGTTTCGGGGTTCTCTTGGAGGAGTCTTCGGGTGAAGCTCGTGATTTTTGCCGCCTGGGGCCCTCTCGTGGGTGCCCCTGGAGGCCTCTTGAGGCGTCGTTGAGGCCTCTTGGGCCGTCGGGGGGCCACTGTGGGCGTCTTGGAGCAATCTTTCGGCGCTTCGGGGTCCTCCTGGCCCTGTCTGGGGGGTCTCCCCGGGGCTCTCTCGGCACGTGTTCGGGGGCCCTCCGGAGCGAGGCCGTCCCGGAGCGGAGGCCCACGCGAGGTCACCGCCAGCGCCCAGTATGATGAGTCTGTTTTCCACCACCACCACCATGATTTGGAGGGGGAAGGAGGAGGAGAAGGAGGAGGAGGAGGATCAAGCAGTGGCGAAGCGTCCTGGCTCGCCTATAGCCTATAGCCCTACCAAACAATGTTCTAAGAACCTTTTGTGGTTTCCACGAAATGTTCTTAGAACATTTCTGGCGGATATTGTTTTGTTTTACCACATCGGGCTGATGTTCTAAGAACATTGTTGCTATTATTAGAACATTTTTCGGTTCTAAGAACATTTCGTGGTATGGCCATAGGAATACCCGGACGGTCGGTCCCTGCTCAAGAGGAGAACACCCCCTCCGACTTCTGGTGGTGGTGGTGGAGAAAAACACGCCCATCACAGTACTGCCCGAGAGGAGTACCTGGAAAACTGGGCGTCCGAGCCTTGACATTTACAGACCCTCCACCTCTCAGGGCTGCATGAGCCTTGCGGTGCTCCACTTCGTGCCAGGCGCACGGTGGCGGATGACGCTATGGAGACACGTTTCAGATGTACCGCGCTTCTCGTTCGCATCCGATGTGCTGGGCTGTCGACGTGGTGTATGTCCACTCCGCTCGCGGCAGAAGGCTTGGAAGGGGAACGCGCAGCCTGCATGTCTTAATGCACTGGCGTGGGACCTGCCATGCGTTCGGTACCGAAGATGAGCATTTAATAGAACACCGAGTTTGGTGCATGAAGGGGGCGCTGCGCGGCACTGCGCAAGCATCTCAAGCTCGGCGCACGCATGCACCAGCGCAGACGTCACAGTGGCAGGCACCATCCATGGATCATGCACGCTTTGTGGCAAAACTTATGTAAATATTGGCCACGCGCCTCCCTGGAGAGGTGACCTTCATGCGCGTGCCCGTCAGGCAGGCACACGGCGATGGGCAGAGCGCAGGGGATCGCATGATGGGAGAGGGTGGCCTGTACTCCCTGATCCTGCAATCGGAAAGAAGAGCGCGTTCTGTGGTCGCTTGGAGGGGGGGGGGTTGGAACCAGACCCCCCCCCCCCCTCCCCCCCCCCTCCTCCCCTACTTCTCCTCTCTCCCTCTCCTCGGGCCAGCGCCTGCGTCGGCGGCGGCTGGCGGCGGCGGCGGGGACGACGACTTCCTTTTCTGGGCCGGCGCCGGCGCCTGCGGCGGCGGGCGGCGGCGGCGGGGAGCGTCGACGAGGACGACGGCGACGACGATGACGACGACGACGACGCTCCGCCACCGTGCCTTGGTTTTGGGTCAGAGTCCTAATGGATGCCTCTTGGGGTCTCGTCGGAGGGCTCTCGGGGGCCTCTGAAGGGCATTTGTGCAGCCTCCTGGGCGCCTCTTGGGCGTCTCTTGGGGCCTCTCTGAGGTGGTGGTGGTGGTGGTGGGCTGTGGTGGTGGTGGTGGTTGTGGCGGTGGTGGTGGTGTGGTGGTGGTGTGGTTGGTGGTGGTGGTGGTTGTTGTGGTGGTTGTGGTGGCAGGTTGTGGTGGTGGTGGTGATAGTGGCGGTGGTGGTGGTGGTGCGGTGGTTTCTGGTGGTGGTGGTGGTAGTAGTGGCGGTGGTGGGTGAAGGTGGTGGCGGCGGTGGCGGTTGTGGTGTGGTGGTTTGTCATGGTGGTTGTCGTGGTGGTACCGGTTGTGATGGTGGTGGTGGTGGGTTGTGGTGGTGTGGTGGTGGTTACGGTGACGGTGGTTGTGGTGGTGTCGGTTTGTTGCGATGCTGGTGGTTGTGGTGGTGGGTGGTTGTGGTGGTGGTGGTTTGGTGGTGGTGTGGTGGTGGTTAGTGGTGGTGGTGGTGGGTTGTAGTGGTAATGGTGGTTGTGGTCGTGGTTTGGTGGTGGTGTGGTGGCGGTTTGTGGTGGTGGTTGTGGTGGTGGGTTGTGGTGGTGGCGGTGGTTTACGGAGGTGGTTCTGGTGGTGGTGGCGGTGGCGGTGGTGGTGGTAGCGTGGTGGTGGTGGTGGTGGTGGTGGGGGTGGTGGTGGTGGTGGTGGGTTGTGCTGCTGGTAGTGGTGGTGGTTGTGGCGGTGGTAGCGGTGGTGTGGTAGATTGTGGTGGTGGTGGTGGTTGTGGTGGTAGTGGTCGTGGTGGATTTTGTGGTGGTGAGTTGTGGTGGTGGTGGTTGCGGTGGTGGTGGCTGTTGTGATGGTGGTGGTGGTCGTGTGGTGGGTTGGTGGTGGTGGTGGTGGTGGGTTGAGGTGGTGGTGGTGGTGGTGGTGGTGGTAGTGGTGGTGGTGCTGGTAGTGGTCATAATCGTCGCTGCGTCCCCGCCGTCGGCGCTGCTGGTGGCCGCAAGCGCCGGCGCCGGCGCCGGGGGGAGTGTTTTGAGACCCCCCCCTTTGGGAAGGAGGGGGGGGGTCGGGAGAGGGGGGTTCGGGGGGAGGGGGGTCCCCCTGGCTTTGGGGGGGGCACCCCCGGGTTCGAAACGCGCCGCCGACTGTCCCCAAGGCAAGCGCCCGTGAAACATTCTCTCTCTTTCTCTCTCTCTCTCTTTTTTTGTTGTTTTTCTCTCTCTCTCTCTCTCTGCAATCAACATGAACGAAAATGGAGAGGTTTCCAGGTGATGACGTGTGAGATATTACCAAGCGGGCGGGGGGGCGGGCATGAGAAAGCAGGGGTCTTCTTGAGAAAGCAGGGGTCTTCTTCGACGGGATCGGCTCCGGTCAAAACCATGCTCCTCTTTGCGTCTCTATGAGGTCGGGCGTTTTCTAAGAGTGCCAGCCACCCCCTCGTGCCCCCATGCTGCTGGCACCCGAATGCAATCAGACCCTGCGCCGTCAGGGCATCCCCGGATCGTCTTGGAATCGTGTTCCATCCCAGCCTCGTCACATCCTTCCGCCAGGAGGATGCGTAAAGTGCTCTCTGGCGCGATTCATAGTTCTGAAGCCACCTGGAGGGCTCCCATCGCCACGGCTGGATCTGTGCAGAACTCCTGGCCAGAACGTACGCACCCCAGGAGAAGGTTGGAGAGGGACTTCTGGGGGAGATTCATCCTCCACCTGGCCCCGCGGGGGAGCGACTTGGCTGGTCAAGCTGTCCGCATGTTCCGTTACGCGGCACCGCTAGGGGGGGAAAAGGTCAGCGACGGTGTTTTCTGCAAGAGGGAGTTTCGCAGGGTCTGGGAAGAGACACGGCCAGTGAGAGAGTGAGAGGTAGAGGTGAAGTAGAGAGTAGAGCTTTGAGAGAAGAAAACGAGAAACAGAGAGTGAGGGGGAAAGCTCTCCTCGGCCTCCCTCTCCTGTCTTAAAGCTCCCCCCATTGAACCCATCACTTCATGAACCTTCTCTCCTCGGCCTTCGTCTTCCCTTGCGTGCTCTTCCTCCTTCTTCTAGTCCCCCTCTCTCTGTCCTTGGCTCCGCGGCCCCCTTCCCCGCGCTGGGGAGGGGGGGTCCTGGGGGGGTCCCGGAAGGGTCCTGGGGGGGTCCTGGGGGGGTGTTGGAGGGTTCCGCGGGGGGGTCGCCACCGAAGCACGTTTTCCCCCCGCGCCCCGGCCCGCTCTGGCCCTGGCCTCGGCCCCGCACCAGCGGAGTCCCATTGCACTTTCTCCCGCCTCCGCGGCCTCACGCCGGCGGCCTCCCGGCCCACCACTGCTCGGCCACCCCCACCCCCTGAGGGCCACGGGCCCGCCCCCTCCTGGACACGGGCCGGGGGCGTGGACCGCGGCCCCGAGACGGCACGCAGCGTGGACCGATGAGATTCGGAGCATGTCCCTGAGCACCAAGGCTGCAAATCGGAGGTTGATAGACCTCCTACCCTGACACGTCGCTCAGTGAATTGGCCGTTTTCGGTTCGCGAGAGGGCGTCGCGGCCGTCATTTTTGCGGGTCCAGGTCCGTCGGTTTCGGCCCTAGGCCGTTTTCACTAAAGGGTGGTTTACTAAAGAGAGGTTTGTCCACCGCCCAATGAGACTCGGAGCATGTCCCTGAGCACCAAGGCGGCAAAGGACATAATGGCTCTATCAAACGGAAGAGTTTGAGGAGGAGGAGGAGGAGGAGGAGGAAGGAGGACGATCGGGATAGGTGGGAGGGATCCTCCTGGCCTTGTGGCTTTTGGCTATGGATGGCTGGCTCGAAGGATCTCACGGGGAGGTCCCAGCCCCGGAGGAGGACGGGACGGGGGAGGAGGAGGGGGAGGATAAGTGGAAGGAGAGGGGGAAGGGTCTTGGGGGGGGGGCAGGGGGGAGGAGGAGGGGGGGCAGCGGGGAGGAGGAGGACGAGGAGGAGTAGGAGGAGGACGAGGGGGTACTGGTGGACCCCCGGGGCGGCCAGCCGCCAGGCGGGTGCCCAGCCGCGACGCAGAAGCGATCGCCATGCGGTATCAAGGCCTGTTGTCGTCGTCGTGGTGGTTGTGGTCGTCGTCGTGGTCGTGGTCGTCCGCCTTCGTTGCGTGTCCGTCGTCGCCGTCCGTGGTGTGGTGACGGACGGCGGCGACGGACGCGAAACACGAAGCACGCTCTGCCAGTCTTCGTGCTCGGGCAAACGCGCAAGGTGGCCCCGAACATGTGGTTTCCAACCGATGTTGAAACAAGAAAACATTCACAAGCCACATCTCGCTGTCTCTAAACTTGGTCGTCGCCGTCGTCGTCATCCTCTCTGGCTTCCTCGTCGTGGTTTGGGCCAGTGCGGGGAGGTGGTTGGGGCATAGCGCAGCCAGGTATGCAGCTTGGGCGCCCTCGGCGTTCTCCCCAACATACTTCTACTATATGTTCGTCGCCCCCCCCACAGGGGCGACGCGCGCACCGTGAAATCTTATAGTATATGCGTCGTGGCGGGCGCTTTCTGGCCACACCGCTCGGGAAACGACCTACTACAAGATGGATATACTACATGTTCGGGTCGGACGCGCGCTTCCAAGGAGGACATAGTATTAGTATGTTCATGTGCGTCCCATGGCCGGGAGGGAGAGAAGGGAGGCCGACGAGGCAGCAGGAGCGAGTGGAAGGGAGAAGGATCCGGGTCAGGAGGGAGCATAGTAAACCCGTTAGAGGAGGGAGAGAAACGAGGAGGAGCGAGGAGAGGAGCGAAGAGCGAGCGAAGGGTGAACAGGACCTCTATGGATGACGCAGGGAGTCGGTGCGCTGCAAGGCTGCAGCACGGCGGGCCGTTGCCTCTCCTTCCTCCTGTTCGTGTTATTGCTGGTGCTCCGCACCCCCGCCCGCCTCGATGGCGATGATTTTGGCGATGCTGACGATGGCTATCGTCATCGTCACCATCATTGCTCGTTCTCGCCCTTCCCCTCCTATCCTCTTCTCCTCTGCCACCCCTGCGCACCAACCCCTTCTCCACGCCCACCTGCTTCGCCCAGCTCCCCGCCCTCACGGCAAGCTCCCAACACACAAGCGTTAGTTAGGTCGGGCTTGTCCCCTACAGGGCGATTTTGGGCGAAAAAATTAAATACACGAAGAACACTCCAACAATGCTCAAAAGTAGTCAAACAATCGCCCCCCAGACGAAACATTCTTGGACTATGTTTGGGTATCCCTCCTGTAGAGGGACACGCCCGACTCAGCACAAGCGCTGTACCGGCACGGCACGGCACACGCTTCGCACTCCGGGGGCGCGGTGCGCGGGCACGGCACGGCACACCACGGCTTGCAGCTTTCTCTCCAGTCCCGGAACCCCGGCAGCCGGCACGGGGCCGCGGGCACGGCTCGTCGTGTGACAGTCTCTGCACGCTAGACTGAAGTCGGGCGTGTCCCTCTACAGGGGGCCTCATCAGACATAGTCAAAAAGCAGTGTGGGGGCGACGTTTTGAGGATTTCTGGGGTATGTTTTGAGTATGTGCTGACCATGCTTTGTTTTCCCCCCGTGGGGGGACATGCCCCACCGAATGCCAGAAGCGGGGCACGGCGCGGCACGCGGGCACCGCACGGCACGGCAGCACTCCCGCGCTCGAAAGCCCAGGCGGGAGCCCGGGCGCGGCACGGTACGGCCCGCGGGCACGACGCGGCACGGCACGCCGGCACGGCATCGCATGCGGGCACGGCACGGCACGGCACGCTTCTCGCACCGAGCGCGTTCCACGACTGGAACAGTGCCTGCTCGCAAGCGTCCGAAAAGCATGTCTGCTTCGATGCAAAGTATCGTAGGTCCCCCGCGCCAGATCCAGGCCATTTGCGAGTAGATACTTTGCGAGTAGTCTTTGAGAGCGCTCGTCTATTCTTGCATTCGGACACCGAAAGCTACCTTCGAAAAGCGACCAGGACCCCATAGAGCATTCGCTGTTTGGGGACACTCCTCCGCCCACATCCTTCCCTGCAGTCAAGGCGCTGAAATGATGGCCGCTGTGGGTTCGGAAGGGGCTAGCCGCTCCTTACGGCAATCCGTGGTTGGTCCTCTGGCACTCCTCGTGCACCCAGGCTCTCTTCGTGCCAGCGAAGGGGGCTTTGTTATTTCTTTAGCGCTCTCAAAGACTACTCGCCGTCCTCGGGAGGAATGAGATGTGAAACCGAGCGCCCCAGCGCGAGCGAGGCGAGCTGGTCTTCGCGCGCTCGCAGAGCTTCGATCAGTGGGTCAGGCTAGCGGGCGAGGACCGCGCGCAGCCTGGCCGAGGGAGGGGAGGGAGCAGGATAAGCAGGATAATCGAAGGAGGAGGAGGACGAGGAGGGAGAAGAGAGGAGGAGGAGGCAGAGGAGGCGGAGGAGGAGATGGAGGAGGATGAGGAGGATGAGGCGGAGGTGGAGGAGGGAGGAGGAGAGAGGGAGGAGGAGGAGGAGGAGGAGGAGGAGGAGGAGGAGGAGGAGGAGGGAGGAGGAGGAGGAGGAGGAGGAGGAGGAGGAGGAGGAGGGAGGAGGAGGGAGGAGAGGAGGAGGGAGGAGGAGGAGGAGGAGGGGAGGAGGAGGAGGAGGAGGGAGGAGGAGGAGGAGGAGGAGGAGGAGGAGGAGGAGGAGAGGGAGGGAGGAGGAGGAGGAGGAGGAGGAGGAGGAGGAGGAGGAGGAGGAGGAGGAAGAGCAGCAGGAAAAGCAGGAGGAGGAGGTTTGTCACCGTTCTTGCTCCTTTTGCTGCCGTCGACGGCCTCAGGATACCTCCGCGCAGAGCACAGAAGGAAGGAGGCAGTAGGGAGGGGCAGCTGGGGAGGAGGGGGGAGACGGAGATGGGAGGATGAGGGATATGGGACGGAGCCGGAAGCAGGGAGGGAGGGTGGGTGGGAGGGAGGGTGGAGAAGGAGAGCGAGCATGACGGATGGTTGGAATGAAGATGCGAAAGGGGGGCGCGAGGGAAGACAACGGGGAGAAACATGGAGGAGGAGACGAACAAGAGGTGAGGGAGGAGGAGGAGGAGGAGGAGGAGGAGGAGGGACCAGGAATAACTCAGCACCCCCACTGATGTTTCAAGGAGGAGGAGGAGGAGGAGGAGGAGGAGGAGGAGGAGGAGGAGGAGGAGGAGGAGGAGGAGGAGGAGGGAGGGAGGGAGGAGGAGGGAGGAGGTGAAGGGACGATGAAAGAGGGAGGAGGCCCTCTTTCCTCCCATCCTTCCTCCTCCCTTTTCCTCCTCCTAGTGTTTGCTTTTGCCCCTCCCCGAGATTTGGCACCTCGTCATCGCCACCAGGCGGATCCAGCCGTGGTGACGAGGGCCCGCGCGGAGGCCCAAGAAATGAATGTGGCATCAGAGTCTTCCCCGTGGACAGCCTGTGACCCCCGGTTCGCATTTCAGCCGTTGGCATCGCGCCATTCGGGTCTCGACGCGTCCGAACGACAGATCCCCCCCCTCCCCTTCCTCCCGTGCCCTGGGGCCGTCGGTCGTTGGGCCTGGGTTCGGCGGCCACGCGCACCTCGACCTGAGCGTCTGCGCGGAGCGAAGTCCAACCCTCTCTTCCTGCCTCCCTCCCTCCTTCCCCCCCCCCTCTCGGAGCCCCCCCATCCCTGCCCCCCAGTTCTGCATCCCCCCCTCGAAGTCAAGCGCGAGTCTTTCCCGCGACGCGGCGGCGCCCCAGGACCCCACGATTTCAAAGCTCGCGCCGGAAGTGGCGACTGCAGGCGTACAAATCTGACCCCGTGGGCCGCGTTTTGCGCGTCGACCAACATGAACAACTTGCGTTTGATCTCGAGGAGGGTTGCAGTTTCACGCTCATCTGACACAGCTGCATTCTGTCACTAGCGTTTCCATCGAAGACCGTACTGTGCCTCGCCTGCGTGGCCCGATACAGCACGGGTTTGGTGACGGGCGCGTCGGAGGCCGCGGGAGGAAAAGCCCAGGTGTTGGGCCGAAGTGTTGGCCAGTCGGATTGTGATGGCAGCATGCGACGAGCTCGCCCGCCTTTGCCCCCCCCCCCCCCCCCCCTCAAAGAGGTGAGGTGCTGCCAACCAAACCTGCAGGGTGGGCCCTTTCCCATGTCTCAGTGCACTTCAGATTTGGCTTCGGCTCGAGCTGTGGGTGCACCGTGAAGCGCCTTCGTGCCAGCTCTCCCGAGTGTTTTTTTCCGCTTGCACGGGCCGCCCCCCCCCCGCTCTCCTCGAACAACGCCCAACCAAATACAGCTCTCTGCCATTCCCCAGGCCCCATCTCGAGGTCGAGGTTTTCGAACCACCGCCCAAACCGCACTAAAGGCATCGAACACTCAACGCCGACGACGACGTTGTTTTCGACATGTTTGTTTAAACGTTTTCGGCGTGAGTGTATGCAGAGATGTGCACAAAAAGGCAAAGGTTCGTGTTCGTGTGTCTAATGTGTGCAATGCTCAGTCGGGGGGTCTGTTGACCCTCCTGGGGCCTTGTGGGGGGTCCCTGAGCAATGTCTGGTCGGTGCTCCTTGGGCATTTGGGGCATCTTGGAGCTTCTCACGGGCACCGTAGGGTCTCTTCATCTCGGGGGCTCCTTGGGGGCACCTTGAGACAATCCAGCTGCCTGCGTCAAACCCCGCCACCGTGCCTGTGCAACAGCGCTGCAGGAAGGAGACTCAGTGCAGGAACATCGCAATTCCGGCAAGTGGTATGATAAGGACGGGTTGTAAACTCGTCCTCGTCTTCGTCCGCGCGGTAGGAAGGAGGTCGAGGAGGAGGAGGAGGAGGAGGAGGAGGAAGAGATGGAAAAAGAGGAGGAGATGAGGGGAGGGGAGGGGAGGGGAGGGGAGGAGGAACAAGAAGAGGTGGAGAAAGAGATGGAGAAAATGAGGACGAGGAGGAGACAGCTTCTTGGGGCCCTCTTGGGGCCTCCTGGAGGCCTCCCGGGAGCCTCCTGGGGGGCCGCCCGTAGCCACTTTGGCTCAAGCGAGCCCGGCGTGCGGGAGGCCCGCGCGCGGCGCGCGCCCGTGGGCGCTCGAGCGCGTGCCAGCGGCCACGGAGTGCGGTGCTGGGGGCAGGCGCTGGGTTGCGGCCAGCGAGCGTTCGCTGGCACGGCGCCTTCGGCGGATGCGAAGGCAGGCCGATCGCCGATGGCGATACGCGGGCCTCGGCGCTCGCGGTGAGGACCGCGGCCATCCGTCGCGCCCTGGCGGCGCATTGGCGGCTGGCGGATCGCCTAGGCGGCCACGCTCCCACCTTCGGCGAGGTCGTGGCCGCGGGGCGGGTCCTGGGCATCGGCGACGACATCCTGGCGGACGCGGTCGAGGACCTGGAATGGCGCAATTGGGCCCGACACGCCGCGCCGCCTCGGGCGGCGAAGCTGCGGCCTGTGCCCCAGGAGGCCATCTTGGTCGCGGATGTCGAGCGGAAGTTGTTGACGGCGGCGGACGGCGGCGCAAGGCTGGACGCGGGGGCGGCCCCCTCTCAGCCGCGGCGGGCCCCAGGTGTCAGGGAAGCGCCAGTGCAGCAGCGGGAGGACGTATTCTTGGAAGCCTTCGGCGTGACTCCCACGGTGGAGGAGTGCGAGCAGCACGCACCCGAGCGGAGCCTGATGGCGGAGCTTGGGGAGACGGTGCAGGAGGCGTCCCCGCCCTTCCTTTTCTTCGGGGCCCGGTGCAGGAAGTGGAGGAGAAGAACGAGGAGGAGCTGGAGAGCGAGGTCGCGGCATGGAAGAGCGACTGGCTGGCACCATGCGCATTGCAGGCGGGGGGTCCCGAGGCGGAGGTTCAGGCCTTCGCGGGAGGCTTCGCAGCCGGGTGGCGCTTGGGCGAGCTGGCGGCGCTGGAGGCCGAGCGGGCCGACGAGGGCGCGCAGCTCGAGAGCACTGCGCGGCTGGAGGAAGCCTGGAAGCTCGTCAAGGCGCGCAACGAGGCACTGGAGGAGCAGCTTGCAGGCAGGCGTCGGGCCATCGCAGCCACCATCGATGGCGAGCTCGGGACGGGCATTGCTGTGGTGGTTGCAGGCGGCGCAGAACGTGACGACGTGCGGGGGGGGTCTCGGCGAGAGCGTCGAGGAGGACGAGGGGAGGACGGCGTGCAGCGCGACGTGCACTGCAGGTCCCCGCGCGTCTGCCCGAGGCGCCGCCGTCGCGACCTACTTGGAGGAGTTTCCCTCGGCCCTGCTGCGCGGGGGCGCGGCGAGGGGGAGGCGCCCCAGGAGACCGAGGAGAAGGAGGGGATCCTGGAGAGGCACGAGAAGGAGGCGTGCGTGACCAGGCAACGCGGGTGGTGGGCAGCGAGGGCCAGAATCGCTCGGGCATGGTTAGGCGCAAGGGCCTCTGATGGCACGCGCGGACCAGCAGTCGCGGAGGCCGAGGTGGTGGAGCTCGAGGCGCTGGACGTCGAGGGCTTCGCGGCGCCTGAGGGCAACAGCACCTGCGAGCCGAAGGAGCGGTGCCTGCTGACGGGCGAAGTGCTGCAGGGACCGAGGTGGACGCCGACGGACTTGCCGCGCGACCCTGGGGAGGTTTTCCTGTTCGGCGATCCCGACGTGCGAGGGCGGAGGCGCCGTGCAGGCAAGAGCAAGTGTGCGGCGCCCTGAAGCCTGGTCGCGTCGCGATGCGCCTCGAGGTTCCGTGGGGCTCGGGGCTGGCGAGCTCAGCATAGGCTGGGCTGGCAAAGGGCTCAGGCCGCGGGTGCGGCGGGCGGACCGAGCGGCCGCGGCGGCCTTTCGAGAAGGCCTGAGTGCGGGCCTGTTGGCGGAATCCGCTGCAGGCTTGTGGGGGTGAAAAAAAAGCCTCCTGGGGGGCCGCTTGAAGGCCTCGTGGGGGCCTCTTGAGGGCCTTTGGGGGCCCCTTGGGCCGTCTTTGGGAGGCGATTGGCCCGTCTGGCGCCTTCGGAGGCCGTCTTTGGGGCCTCTCTGGGCCGTCCTGGTGCCTTCTTGGAGAGCGTTTTCGGGCCGTCTTGGGGCGCCCTTAGGAGGCTCCTGGGCGATCTTGGGTTACCTTGGGCCGACTCGGGGCCCTGTTGAGGAGCTCATGGGCTGTCTTGGCCCTCTGGAGCTGTCTTGGCCTCTAGAGGCCGCTGGAGCTGTCCTGGGCGGTCGGAAGCCCAAACGGGCGACAGGTCAGAACCTCATAATCCTTCAAACAACTAATGGTAATCATTGGTGTCTGCTTCCTGAATCTCACTTGGAGAGCCTGTTGGAGGACCTCTTGGAGCCCTCTTGGGCTCGTCCTCGGAGTCTCTTGAGCTGTCTTGAGGCCGTATTGGGAGCCTCTTGAGCCGCCTTGGGCTATCTTGGGCCGTCTTGGTGTCGTCTTCACTGTCGCAGAAGCCGTCTTGGGGTCCGAGAAAGAGCAGTGGAAAACAATTTCACTGTGGGCGATCCCAGCGGCACGCGTGGTCCGGGGGGCGGGGTGCTAGATCACATTCAGAAACACTCCCAGGCAACAGACGAGCATTCTACCACGTTTACTCCGTGCAGGCACGGTGGCGGATACGTGTGTATGTATGTGTACATGTACATTTATATGTAGATGTATATTATATGTATACATGAAACTATGTGTGAACGCGTGTATGCATGTATGCTTGCATGTTTGTATGACTGTATATATATATATATATGTGCGTGTGTGTTCGTGTGTAGGCACGCATGCATGCATACATGCGTGTAATGTATATATGGTTGTATGCAAGTATATATGTAGGTAAATACGTATGTATGTATGCATATGAGTTTATACGTACGAACGTGTTTATGTGTATGCGTATATGTATGTATACATCCATGTGCGTATGTATGTATGTACGTTTGTATGTATCATGTATAGGTGTTTGTATGTTTGTGTGTGCGTGTGTGTATACATTGATGTATGTATATATAAGGGGTTCGTGTATGCATGTATGCAGGTATTTATCGTTATGTATGTATGTGTGCACGCATGTATGTATGCCATGTATGCGTGCATGTATGAATGAATGTATGTATGTGTGTATGTATCCATGAATGTACGTATGCACACATATGTATATAAACATACACATGTCTATATACATTGTGTATAGTTGCATGACAGGTGTACACACGGACAAATGTATTTGTCCGTGTAACATACATATGCAATTATGCCTGTCAGTTTGTCTGTCTGTCTGTCTGTATGTATGTATGTATGTATGTATGTATATACAAGAACATAGGACTAGGGTGCGGGCGGGCCTGGGACCACGCCGCTCCCGTGGCATGACCGCTCGGGGGGGCCCACGAGCGCTCCCGTGGCCTCCAAAGGGACCCGTGGGCGTACAGATGGCCCAAAAATTGTTACGAAGGTCAGCCATACCGGTTCGCCACACCCCGAGAGCGCCGACGATGGCTTTTGAACGGCATCCGGAGACCTCTAGGCTCCTCCAGGACGGCCCCAGGCGGCCTTCGAGGCGCCAAGAAGACCCCGACTTCCAAGAGGCTCCAGGAGACCCCCACGACGCCCCAGAAGGCCCCGAAATGGCCCGCAAGAGGCCCCCAATCGGCCCCCGAGAGGCCTCCGGCGACATCCCACCGAACATCCGATCAGCTTTTCACCCACAGCCCACGCTCGGTGGCGGGGTGGGCCGAAGGTCATTCTAGTGTTAATCAGAATTATTATTATTATTATTATTATTATTATTATTATTATTATTATTATTATTATTATTATGATTAGTATTATTAGTATTATTATTATTATTAGTATTATTATTATTAGTAGTAGTTTTATTATTATTAGTAATACTATTATTATTATATAAATGAACAACAAAATGAACCACATCCGCTCCTTCTCACCCTCGTTCCCGTGGCGTTCCCAGCTCCTACCGTGCTTCCAAGTTCCACCTCCTCATCCATTTTTCTGAAGGCTTTCGAATGATTATGCTGGGCCGTCTCTCGCGCGTTGCAGCTTTCTTTGGGTTACGCTGGGACACTCTCGTGGCCATCGCGCCTTCCTGGGGCCGTCCTGAGCGCCTGCGCGCACCTTCCCATCCCCCTCCACCTCCGTCGTCGGTGGAAGAGCAAGTTTGGAAGCTCGAGACTTCCCCATGATTTTGGTCCCCCGAAGGGATGAGGGTTTTGGTCGGAAGCTGGAGCATATACATTACCATTGGCGGGCGGTTTTTGAATCCCAAGACTTCTTGAGGGTCGGGGACGACGTCGGGGTGGTGTGATGTATACTTGTTTCCCCGCTTCCCAGGGAAACAACGAAGAATTTATACACCAGGATCTCGTATACACCAGGATCCGCTTTCTTGTGCGAGATTCAGTGTGAGACCAGACAATGGCGTCGGTGTATACATACATATATATATATATATACATATATACATATATCATATATATCATATGTAAATATATAGGGAGAGAGATTGTGTGTCCGGTTCCTCATTTGGAAGAAAAGAACAGAACTCTACAGACCGCCTACACCCAGAGGGCTGGTGGGATTCTGAACATCCCCATGGATCCCCAGGATCCCCAACGATGTTCAAGGCATTCTCAGGAATCCTTAGTAAACCCGCAGGGAGCCTTCAGGAATCCTTTCTACGAGTCCTTGAGGAATGCCGAGGACGCCCTGAGTAAATCCGTGGGAGTCCATGGGGAAAAATCGATCTGCCCACAAGGGGACCGACCCCCCGCCCCAACTGCCGCAGGGAGACCCACCCCCCACTCCCACAGGGGGGGATGGGGATTGGGTCGTCGCCGGGACCTGGTGCGCTGAGTACGAAGACTCCGGGAATGGAGGAGGAGGAGGAGGAAGGGGGTTTCGGATCGTCGGTTGCACCTGGTACGACGGATACGAGACCTCCAGGAATCCAGGCTGAGGTCGTGCTACCGCGCACGGCCGATATCTATCTAGATCTGGTGATAGCAACACCATGTACATCTCCCTCTTTGCGCTTCTTATTATCTCCCTCTCTCTCTCTCTCTCTCTCTTTCTCTCTCTCTCTCTCTCCTCCCATTCAACCCATGGACATGTCCTGGGTTGCCTCCTGGCCAGAAATTACCAATCGAGCCGTTGCCGCGTGGAGCTTCCCAGAGGCCCAGACATATCCGAAAACGGCAAGTTGAATCCTCCCCCCATCAGTCCTCCTTCCCCCCTCTCCTCCCTCCTCCTCTTGCTCTCCCTTCCTCCCTCCCTCCTTCCTCCTGCGTGGCCTGGCCGCGGCGGCGCCAGCGCCCTTCCCCCCGCCCCCCTCGAGGAGGAGGGCTGGATGCTGGCCGCCACGGAGGCAGCCTCGCCGCCCCGCGGGCCCCTCTTCTGGCACGAGCCGAGGCACGAAGATGGAGGAGGGGGGTTCGGACACTGCGCCGTTTCTTTTATTCGACGTTTCGGCATTGGGCGGAAGGGGGGGGAGGGCGGGGGTCTGGCTCTGGACCTCTGCTCGGTGCGACTGTTTGCAGCAGGGCGTCCATCATGGGGGAAACTCCACCTGCTGGGAACAGGCGCCAAACACAGCGCGCGAGGGGTGCGAGGGCCAGCGCCGATCGGCAAAACCATGGATAAGAAAACGATCACAAACTGGATCGACTCCAAAACTGATTTGCTCTGGCCCGCGCGGCCTCGACAGGCTGCGGCCATGAGATCCTGGGGCGGCCGTCTCGGCCCTCGAGCCCCAGGGAGCATCTTGGGTGGCTCCACTGCGAGCGCCTCTACTCAGGAGGGACAGAAACACGCAGACATAGTTAATCGTCGACTCCTAGGAAAAGATTGGAAACTATGGGAAGTGGGGGGGAAGACGAAAACCCAACACATATGGAAAAATAGGATGGGATATCCTGGGGTTTGTGTTTTTTTTGTGTGGCTCTGGACCCTTTATCTACGAAGCTCATGCGACTCTGCAGAACGCGGCCGATGACCACGGTGACGATGAGTGGTCGAATCGCGGCATCAGGGCAAGAATGTAAAGAGTAAGGCGTTCGTGTTGTGGCTGGCTCCTTGTCGGCCGGCGTTTTTCTTCACCCAGGGTTTGGCATGCTTGTACTCGCTGCCATCAGGCGGCACGCGAGGGCACGGCAGCGGTTCGGTGGCGCGCGGCTTGGGGAACCGGAGCGAGTTGGTGGGACCTCGGATGTCACGCTCGAGATGGCCTTTTTGAGTGTTGGGACGGTTTGCCGAAGGATGTTTGGAGGAAGGGGCCTGGCTATTTGAGCGATTCTGAAAAGCGGGGTCGTCTTCGCCGACGTTGGCGCATAAGCTGGCCGCGTAAGCTCGCGCGTAGGCGTCCTCCCTGCAAGCGTCGCGTGCCTTGCTGGCAGCCCGCGTGAGCCACCGCGTGAGGTCGCAACGCCATCTCGCGTAAGACCCGTGTTTGATTGTGGCTCATTTGAGGGCGTGCAGGGCGTGGCCCTTGAAATGGTGGCGCCTGCTGCTCCCACCCCCCCTCGGCCTCCGTCCTCAGTTCTCGCGCTCGTTGTCGCGAGCCCCATATGGCCATTCTCAGTCTCGGCCACCTCCTCCTCCTCCTCCTCCTCCTCGCCCTCCTCCTCTGCCTCTCCCCCCCGCTCCTCACCCTCCCCCTGCTCCCTCCTTGCAGACAGGAGATGGGGAGGGGCTTCTGCCGCTGCCCCTCCCCTTCCCCCCATCCCTCCCGCCCTGGGGAAGGAGGGGCAGAAGGATTGGAATCATTGGGAGGATTGGAGGAGGAGGAGGACGATTGGGACGGCGGAGGAGTTGGGAGGCACGCGCAGGAAGAGGAGGAGGAGGAAGAGGAGGAGGAGGAGTGAGAAAGGAGAGGCCTGTGCCAGGACATGGGGGAGCTGCTGCTGCCCCTCCACGGCCTCCCCCACCTCGACTTGTGGCTGCTGTGCGACCTGTGGCGAAGCGCGCGCGCTTCTGCGGCCAAGGGCGAGCTGGAGCCTTCCCGCCGCCGCTCGTTGTCGTCGTGGCGCGCATCGTCGTCGCGATCGTCGTCGTCGTCGTCGTCGTCAAAAGGGGGAAGAGTACGAGGATGAGAATCAGAAGAAGGAGCAGGGATACAGGATTGACGTTTCCGCTCTCCGTGGCCCTTCGGAGGGGGGAGGCTCATCGCCATAGCCACAGCTCGACGCAGCTCTGAACGAAGAGGCGTTGGTTGTGTTACGGGATGTGTTTGGGGCGTGTGAGCGGAACTTGTTGCGATGTGAGGAGGAGGAGGAGGCGGAGGAGGACGGGGAGGAGGACAAGTTAGGTGCACTCTCGTCATATCTGACGTCCTACCCCTTCCGCCCATCCCTTACCATGGCGTCCATATCCTCTCTATTCGCACATTCGGATGTTGAGCAGGGCACTGATCGCGAGAGAGTACGCGATGCATGGTAGAGAACGGCATGGAACGGCGTAGAAGAGGACGGCAGAGCGTAGCATGCCATGGCATGGCGTGGCATTGCGCAGCGAAGCATTGCATCACAAAGCATTGCAACGCAAAGCACGGCATCGCACAGCGGCGCAGAACGCAACACCGCACAGCATGTCATGACATGGCGCCGGGTTCCTTGGAGGGTAAGTGGATCGTCTTCAAGGTGTGTGGGCCGGTCTGGAGTCGTGGCTCCATGTCTAGTTCTTTGGGCTCCCCGAAAAGCGCAGCTCCACACAAGGCGGGGCTGATGGAGAGCACCCGCTGGCTCTGCTCCTCGCCTTCTCAACCTAAAGTTGGGTAAAAGATCAACGAATCGACACCGAATGTGTAATCACTTCCGATGTTTCTGTTCGGGGGAAGGGAGGCACTTTCTATATTTAGGGGCATATCTGGAAGGACCGAGAACGCCCGCGCTGCAGCGGGAGCACGGTTTGGAACAACCAGAGGCGCAGAAATGAGGCAATCGCTTCAGCGGGAGCAACAATTGGAAAAACAACCTAAGGGCAAATCCATTTCCCAGGAATCTTGTGTGTAAAAATCAGTACGTGGAGAGGGGCCGGATATCTTCAGGACGTCATCTGAGAAGAGAGGAGAGTAGTCTTCACAGTGTGCAATTGCGGAGGAGTTGGAGGGGGAAGAGGAAGAGGAAGGAGGAGGAGGAGGAGGAAGAGGAGGAGGCGGAGGCGGAGGATGAGGAAAAGGGTAGGGGGAGGAGGTGGAGGTGGAGGCAGAGGAGGAGGAAGAGGGAGAAGAAGGGGAAGAGGAGGAGGGGGAGGGGGAAGAGGAGGAGGAGGTGGAGGAGGAGGAGGAGGAGGAGGAGGAATGGGAGGAGGAGGAGGTGGAGGAGGAGGAGGAGGGGAGGAGGAGGGGGAGCAGGAGGAGGAGGAGGAGGAGGAGGGAGATAGGGGAGGACGAGGAGGAGGAGGAGGAGGAGGAGGTGGAGGAGGTGGTGGTGGAGGAGGGGGGGGAGGAGGAGGAGGAGGGAGGAGGAGGAGGGGGGAGGAGGAGGAGGAGGAGGGGCAGGAGGAGAAGGAGGAGGAGTAGGATGAGGAGGAGGAGGAGGAGGAGGAGTTGCGAGTTGCGAGCTATCTCACGTGGTGGTCGAAACGAACTACGAGCGGCGTTGCTGCTCAGCCTTGCTAAGCAGTTTGGGCCACTTACCCTCATGAAGCCTGGTCAAATACTCCCGGCGATGGGGAGCGATATGGTTGGAACACTTTTTAGCCAACTCTCGCATTTGCGAATGTGCGAAGTGGCCACATCGAATACAAAACCATACCTTCTGTGATCTGGACAGACGCATCCTATGAGACCCCTCGACCCAGCCCCCAGCGATATGAAGCCGCCCCCCTCAGGTATTGCATTATATCTTTCACACACGTGAACGGGCTGAAAACAATGAGAAGGGAGCCATTCGGACGCTTTAGCCTTACTGGCAGATCCCCAACATCTAGTGCACCTATGTCTGGACTCGTCAAGCCGATGCTGCGAGATGAGGGCACGAACGATCGAGGGAGGAGGAGGAGGAGGAGGAGGAGGAGGAGGAGGAGGAGGAGGAGGGGTAGGGGGAGGAGGAGGAGGAGGACCCCTCACCCTCGCGCGCGCGGGTCCGCCACTCGCCTCGGTGTTCATCACGTCGAGGATGGCTCGCAAGAGCCTCATCCTGACGTGCATGGCCTTCCTCTCGATCTGGTAGACGGCCGCACGAACCTCGTCGGCCACTCTCCAAGTCTCGGCCGCCTGGGCGGCCAACTCATCCACACAGTATTTCCGATGGCAAGCCAGGCAGGGGTCCCCGAGGTGACTATTTTCTCCCCCGACAAGTGCGAGTTCACGAACAAAACAGAAACTTGGCGCAATCGAGCCTCCAGCTCACCACCGATTTTGTGCCACAGGTCCTTGTTGGCCCCAGCAGGCCTCTCATGAAGTCTTTCGTGAAAGCCCTTGGTCACAGCAGCGCAATCAGTGATATATACTAAATGCTCGGCCGTGCACGTGAGAGCTAACAAAAAGGCCCGCAGCTCTCCACGAGGCACGGACTGTTCATCTCCAATCAAAGGCCCTTTGACCGCAGTGCGAATACAACACGGATCGTACAAGCTCAGAGTGGTGATGGCCAGACCGACCCGTCGGAACGTGGGGTCCCCCGAATCTTTCCGTCCAGAAGCGTCTCCGAATACTACCATCTGTTGCGCATCCGTGCCTCTAGCGGTGCCGATCATACTCAAGACTTCCTCCACTGGCGGCGGCGAAATGCATGTCCACGCCGCAGGGATGAGGCCGCGAAGCCAAAAGCAAACGTCAGCTTCATGCTGGGCAAAAGCAGCACTGAATAAATAATCAGAGTTATCGTACGCCTTGGAACCACGATTTTCGAACACTCCCACGTCCTGTGGAATTGTGTTTCAGGTTTGTCCTGACATCGAGCACATATCACATCATGATCCCCTTCCGTCTCATCCTGCCCCCGCTGCCGAGGCCAAGACCCTCCCGAAGCAATGGAAACCATAAGCTCGCTCAGCCTGACCCCCTGACGAACAGTCTGCAGCTGCCGCAGAAGCCAGCGCAAGGAAAAAATATCGATACCGTGCTGCGTTCCCTCTCCACAAAAATGGCGCGAGACCTCGCGCCACTGTTTAGCCTGAATGGTTTTGGTGAAATCCTGAAGTAGCGGACCTGGGTCATCATCCAGAATGTTGCCAGAAAGCTCCGAAGGGTGAAATTTCCATGCCTCAAGGTCGCCCTCGTGGTCTGCAGGAGCCCTCCAGTGCCATGACGCCTCTGGTACCCACCTGGCCTCCAGGAGATGCAAGATGATTGTTCCGTTCGGGCCCCGAACCAATCTAGATCGTTGCCCTGCTGGCGCCTCTCGCAGGCGCTGCAAAATATGCGGCCACGCGCGTGCAATGCCTGGTCGTATAGCAGGACTGGTCAGGTACTGCTGCAGCCAGAGAGCCAGTCAAGATCGAGGAAGTGTATACCCTGGATCCCCCCCATGGACTACGAAGATCGAGAAGTGTTGTTAAACACCGCCCCCTTTTGCCCGACCCACAAACACGGCATATCTGACGGCGGCAGCGGAGCATAGCATTGCCAAAAACTCCATGCAATTGATGGCCGTACATCTCGGCGGCCATGGTGCCAGCTCGCGTGAGCCTGCTGGTGATATGATATCGTTTAGAAGCCCTTGCAAATTTGACCACCTTGCTGTGCATGGTTGCTGTTTTTGTCCACTCTTTTTATTGCGCTGGTGTCGAGCATGACGTTTCCCCCCACCTAAGTCCACTCCCAAGTATCTTGCACGACTACATGGCTTGACTTCAAAACTTGCACGTCGCAATTGCTTTGAAATACTCTGAGCGTCCTCAAGATGAGAACACAGCACAACACTTTTTGGCGAAACCGTGAGGCCTTCGCGCGTGAGCTGTTGGCACGTGTCCATCAGGCCGCACACTAGGGACTGCCGGAGACTGCGTCTAGATCCGTGGACTCGCTGAGGCAATTCGTCGATCCGAATGCGTGTTCCCATACATGGGTGGGAGGATGTCATACGAGGTAAAATGTAAAAAGTAAGACAACGGGACAATCTGGTACCCCCACGGAGGCCCTGGACTATGGAATGTGTGGGGTATATGGGTTCTGAGGCTGCTCCTCCTTGTCCCAGCGTCCTCGGCATGATACACTGCAACAGATCAAGGGCCAGAATGACTGGAGGACACCCCAGTCGAATGGCCGTGGGGATACAAGAGAACCAACCCATCGCATCGTAAAACCCTTGGATATCCAAAAGCCCATGCCCCGTCGCAATGCCCAGAGCTTTGAAAGTTTTGCCAATGCAGCGTCGGGCAATCGCTCAACATCTGTCGGACTTAAACATCCACGCCTTGACCCGCCCTCGCTCGCATGGCGTGAGCGGCTTGCCTAATCTCGGAGACTGAAAGTGCATCGAGAGGATCGGCACGCGCTGCTACACGTGCAGTTTCGAAGGCTTCCAGGATTCGCACATCTAGAGACACGCCCGGCTTGGTCCAGAGGTCCCGAAATGGTGTAGCCCGCTGGTCGACCAATCCCTGGGCTGAAACAACACCTGAGATCCCTGGATGATTTCCTCAGCGGGCGCGGGGTTCTGCTTCATCGCTTTGTGCAAGATACCTGGCGCCTCGGCTCCAACAATCCACTCCTTGAAATCGTGAAGTAACGAGCGTAGAGCGCGCCCTCGACAGCGCGAAGCAATCTTCTTGGCAGACGCAACTAAAAGAGCCAACTTATCCTGATGAACGCGTTTCGCACTCGAGGCCATAAGTGATTTCCAAACGTCCCAGGGCGGATCGGACCCAACACGGAGTCCTCGGTGCCCCTGGTTTGGAGATTGCTCGCTGAGTTGCTTGCGCGCTTGCTCTAACTGTTGCTGCTGAGCGATTCCATTCGCTCGAGCTCGATGGTTATGGATTATTTGAAGTACCGTGTGTGCTTTCTCCCACCAAGACGTGCCTTTCGTTTCTTACTCAGCGTCCCGGTGGTAGCACGACGCTTGCACTGTGCTGTGCCCCAGGTGTGCGGGCCCGCTCGGGCCAACCTCCAGCCCCGTCACGGCTGCTCTTGGGGGGTCCGGGCGGCGGGAGGGGGAGCTCCTCGGCCCCCATTGTCTCCCCCGCCGAGGCGGGGGTTCGGGGGGGCGGGGTCCGCGGCTGGGGGCTCAGTCCTCGGAGGTGTCGACGAGCCCACGTCTCCAACACTCTCATAAAGGCGGCGAGCTCCCAGGATTTCTGAGGCGAGCTCGAGACCCTGTGCATACGCTGCTCGGCGTCACTGGTTAAGACCAATGCGTGCGGCGCAAAGGCGGGAGCCACGTTTTTCAACTGGGCGCCCTCCACCCGCCTTGCGGTTGGAAACTTACCTCGAATGGGTGTAGGTGGAAGTTTGCCTAAGCATCGAGTAGCAGTTTGACCTTTACCCGCCCTCATCCGTGTAACTGCTCGATGTTTGCAGCTGGAGGGCCATTCATGGTGATGATTGTCCAGGGTGGAACAACGGGCCCGCCCTTCCGACACCACTGGGGCCGCGACACGGGGGAGTTGTTTAGAAGGACGAGAGGTGGAAGGAGGAGAAGGAAGAGGAGAAGGAAGAGGATGAGGGGGAGGAGGAGGAGGAGGGGGAGACGGAGGAGGAGGAGGAGGAGGAGGAGGGGAGGAGGAGGAGGAGGAGGAGGAGGAGGAGGAGGAGGCGGAGGCGGAGGAGGAGGAGAAGGAAGAGGAGGACGAGGATGAGGCGGCGGCGGCAGCGACGGAAGGAGGGTCAGAGGGGGGAATGGGGAGGTGGATGGGATACGAGGAGGGGGCGGAGAGGGGCATGAGGAGGAGGAGGAGGAGGAGGAGGAGGAGGAGGAGGAGGAGGAGGAGAAGCAGGAGGAGGAGGAGGAGGAGGAGGAGGAGGAGGAGGAGGAGGAGGAGCAGGAGCAGGAGCAGGAGCAGGAGCAGGAGCAGAAGCAGAAGGAGCAGGAGGAGCAGGAGAGTGGAGGATGTGGAGGGGGATGTAGAGGAGGATGTGGAGGGGCGGCGGCGGCCGCGCAGGACCAGAAGGCGCAGTCGGACCTGAAGGACGCGGAGGCACGCGCGCGCCTGGCGGCCGTTGCTGCCTTCGAGCGGCTGCAATTCGACGAGGAGGCATGCAGCTGGAGGGTGTCGGAGGCGTGCCCCGAGCAGGAGGACCCCGTCGCCCTGGGCTTGCTGGCGAGGGAGGACCTCCAGGTGGGCGAGGCCGGCATGGCCCGGATCGTCCGCCACATCTTCTCCAGGCAGCTGCCGAGGTTCTGTTCCGACGAGCCTGGCCTGAGGAGGCTGGTGCCGGAGCTCAGGCGCTCAGGCGGGTCCGTGCCGCTCCCTGTGGACGGAGGGGACGAGGACGAGGCACCCGAGGGCGCAGAGAGCCCCCTGGGCCCCACGGTGCTCCTCGAGCACGACGGGAGGATGTACCTGGCCGCCCAGGGCGGCCTGCTCTTCGACCCGGCCGACCCTCAGAAGCTCGTGGGCGTGTGGGACCCGGCCGGGAAGACGGTGGAAGCCCCCCCGGAGGGCTTCGACGTGTCCCAGGGGGTCACGATGCTGGAGCACGAGGGCCAGGGCTACGTCATGACCGGGGACGGGAGCATCTTCGACCCCGCCGCCCGAGTCAAGGTCGGGACCTTTGACCCCGAGTCCAAGAGCGTCCGGCTGCTGGCGGACGCGGGCTGCGGAGTCCAGCTGAGGATGGCCCGCGACGGGCCCCTGGAGGCGGCGGCGTCGGCGCCGGCCCTTGGCGGCGACGCCGCCGCGGGCAGCCCTGGCGCCGCGGACGCCGCGGGCGCGGAAACGGGCGTGCAGGAGTTGCTGGCGCAGGCCGCGAGGTACACGGACCGCAAGCTCTACCGCCTCGCCGCGCGCGAGTACGGCAAGGCTTTGGAGAGTTGCGCGGCCGCCGGCTGTGTGGAGCTGGACGAGGAGGCGGACATCTTGCGGAGGCGCGCCGAGTGCTTCGCGGAGCTCAAGGAGCACCAGAAGCTGCTCGACGACGCCGAGCGTCTCCTCGGCTACGACTCCGCCGACCCCCGGGCGCTGGAGTGGCGCCGGGCCTCCGCCGAGGAGCTCGAGAAGCGGCGCGCGCTGCGGGGGCGCTGAGCTACCAGTGCCCGAGCGTCGGCGTGTCCCCCCCGCGGGGGCGGCTCCGCTTCGAGCGGGATAAGTGCCTGCGACAAAAGGAGAGGGCGAGGGCGAGGGCAGCGAGGGCCAGAGGCCAGAGCATCGTTTGCATACGGACGGGACCACGGGCGCCCTCGGATTGCAGACCATCGCCCAGGCCCGGGCCCCCCTCCAGCACCCCTGGCGGCGCAGCCCTCGGCTGCGCGCAAGAGTGACCCTTCGCCAGCTGGCTCTCTTGGTGCGGGGCCACGGGGGTTCCCCCCAGCATCGGCCCTCGCGTTTGGATTTGGCATGCCTGAGGCCGCCTAGAGCCGCGCACCGAAGGTCCCTCTTGGCTGGGGTCACTCGTGCGTGTAGCCAACTTCGGCGCCGCGCGCTGGCGAGGGGTGTGGGGGGTGGGGGACGAGGTAAGCGGCGGAGAGCTCTTCTTTCCAGGTCGCCTTCTCCCTCGTATCTAAAGCTGCCAGGGCTTCTGTTCTCTTACAGTTCGCGGCGTGGAAGGGAGAAAAGCGAATCCACAGGCGCAGACGCAGCGCTTTGTGGCAGTTCCCGCGGCATTGCTGGGGTTTCGTCGTGCTTCTGCAGCCAGGTGTCTGGCGTACACCCTGCGTGGCCGTCCATGCAGGGCCTGGGGCATCTCGGAGGGGGCTCCGGGTCGTCGGTGGTGCTGGGAGCCGCGCGCTGCACGGATCGGGAGGGCCGCTCTGCCCCCGAGCCGCCCCGCGGGTCCACGAGCCACCCTCGTTGCAGCACGTCCGGGTACCTCGAGCGTGTTTCGTTCTTGCTTGGGCCATAACGCGCGCTGGGGCCCCCCCGCCCCCCACCCCCCCATGACGTAACCCTCTGGCCCCCAATTCGCCCCCGGCTCTGCCGCCGTGCGCAGATGGATCCGCATAGGAACCCGAAAAGGGATCCGCATAAGCATCCGCACAGAAATCCGCATAGGGATCCGCATGGGGATCGCATAGAGATATCCGTGGGGATTCGCATAGATCCGCATACGGATCTGCATGGGGATCCGCATAGAATCCGCGCGGGAACCCGCATAGGGAGCCGCACAGGGATCCGCATAGGGAGCCGCATAGGGATCCGCACAGGGATCCGCATGGCAATTCGCATAGGCATCCTCATAGGGATCCGCATAGGCATCCGCATAGGCATCCGCATAGGGATGAGCATAGGGATCCCCAGAGGGGTCTTCATAGGGATCCGCATCGAGACCCACATAGGGGCGGTGGTCGCGGGCAAGTTGCGGTGCTCTCAGGCACTTGTGGTGTTCGTCGGAGAGAGGCAATGAAAGTAGAGGGACGACGATGACGACGAGGATGGAGGAACGAGGTAAGGATCATACCTCTTATACGCCACGTGGAGGCAACGACGCCTTCGCAGGCATGTGCTCGCCACAACTCCTCGTCGCTTTTCGTTGTCGGTCGTCGTCGTCGTCGTCGGCGGCGGCGGCGTCGTCGGCGGCGTCGTCGTCGTCGCTCGTCGTCGCCCGTGGTCATCGTCGTCGTCGCTCGTCGCTCGTCGTCGTCCTCGTCGCTCCTCGCTCGTCGCTTGTCGTCGTCGGATTCGTCGTCATCGTCGTCGTCGTCATCATCTTCGTCGTCGTCGTTGTCGTCTGTCGTCATCGCTCGCGTTTGCGTGTCGTTGTCAAACGCCTCCGAATGCTGTCGGGGGCCTTCGGAGGCCCTGGGATGGTCTCCAGAAGGCCGCTGGAGGCTTCCAGAGGCCCCAGGAGGCCTCTGGAGGCCTCGGGAAACCTTCGGAGACCTCCAGAGGCGTCGCTCGTTGCCAGTCGCCGTCGTTGTCATCGCTCGTCGTCGTCGTCGTCGTCGTCGTCGCTCGTCGTCGTCGTCGTCGTCGTCGTCGTCGTCGTCGTCGTCGTCGTCGTCGTCGTCGTCGTCGTCGTTCGTCATCGTCATCGTCGGCGTCGGCGTCGGCGTCGTCGGCGTCGTCCTCGTCCTCGTCCTCGTCCTCGTCCTCCTCGTCGTCCTCGTCGCTGGTCGCTCGTCACTCGTCGTCGCCGTCGTCGTGCGCGCGAACGCAGTGGTGGGGCTGGAACCTCACGGGGCTGGGAGTTCGTTACGTTATGCTCCCCCCCCGCGGCCACCCCCCACCCCATAACGCCCGTTACTGCCGCAAGTAAAGACACGCGTTCTTCCGTTGCACGCGCCAGGCCATTCCTCCCCAGTCCTGACACCGCCCGTCCCCGTCCTCTCTCGTCGCCCCTATTCCCTGATTGCTCCCGTGCAGCAGGCGGGCGGGGAGGGGGGCGAGTTGCGATTGGCCCCCAGAACGGGGGCCTCCTGATGCGAGAATTAAGCGGAGAACAAACCTTCAAAAACCCAAGTGAGATCAATGTTTTTGGCCTCCTGAGGTCCTCTCGAGGGCCCGCCTGTGGATCCGTCTCGAGGCTCCCTTGGACCGTCTGGAGGCCATCTGAGGCTCTCTTGGGGCCGTCTTTGGGCCGTTTGGGGGCCTTCACGGGCAGTCGTGGGGCCCGTAAGCTGCTCCATTCGAAAAATAAGAGGAAACGAGCCATGGAAGGCGCCCGCGAGCCGTTGTCCGAGCTGCGGCCAGCCGTGCTGACTCGAGGGGCCCGCCGCGAAGAGCCGGTCGATGGAGCCTCGAGCTTGTCTGGTGGCTTGCGGCCCAAGCCGCCACCGCTCCTGGGTGGTGGGCCAGAGTGGGGGGCCACATGCGAACCCTACCCCACCCTCCCCCTCAGTGATCATGGGGGGCAGGGGTAGGGTTCGCATGTGGCCCCCTACCAGAGGTTTCTTGGATGCCTCTGGGGACCTCCTGTGCGGGAAGCTCCCGACAGTTACGCGGGACGCCCCGAGAGATCGGTGAGTTTGGGCCCCTGCTCCCTTCAAAGGGCCCCTGCGATGCTCAACACAGCTCGTATGGACCCGAGGTCTCTGTTCGGTGCCTCGCGCACCGCAGAGTCTGTGCAAGCTGGAGGTGATGACTGAATCGGCGGCCCTCCCCCATCCTCAGGGATGTGCACTATTGGGGAGGCTCTGGACCGTGCCTTCAGCGGGGCTTCGTTACCGCGGTCGAGGTGGTTGCGGGGTTCCCCCAGTTGCATGCTCCGAGTCGCCTTGGGCATAACACCACAGTCCGCGACAGCCCTTCCTCCCCCCCAACCCCCCCCCTGCCCTCTCCCATACCCCCTCGCCACACCCGTCTGCCCTGCGGCTCAGGGCGCGCCCTCCCGTCACCCTCCCCCCGCGCCATTGGCCAGCGGCCTGGCCCCGCCGCTGGCTGGGAGGGCAGCGGCCGCGGTCGTTTGCAGCATGGCAGCGCTGGGGGGGAGGGGGGAAGGCAGGGAGGAGGGGAGGATCATGGCACACGGCCCCTGTCAGTCAAAATCGCTTGTGACCGAGCAAAAACTGATGACCGAACACGCGCTCGAATTTGCGACCGAAACGCAGCGTGAACGAAATTGGAGCCGAAAGTGAAAGTCGCTTCGATCTCGAACCAAGAATCAGGGTCACACTCTGGCGCGTCCAGGGAAGTTCGGGCGCCGGTTTCGGTCACACTCGGGCAGATATTCGGGCACAGTTTTTCGGTCAGCACGCCCCCCTGATAGAGACGAGGCTGCGCGAGGTGGAGGGATGGGGGGGAGGTGGAGACGGGGACGAGGGAGGAGGTGGGCGCTGAGGACGGCAGCGGAGCAGGAGCAGGAGCTGGGGTAGGAGGAGGGAGAAGGCAAGACGAGACAAGACAGGGTCGACGACAGTGTCATGTCAATTTGCGAGCCTCCCCTTCCTTGATCCCGTAGTCGAGCAGGGCGACAAAATGGCCGAGCGCGAAAGGGACCGGGAAGGCGAGGATGTGGGATTCCACGCATCACCCTCCGCCTGCATTCATGAGTCAACTCTGCTTGCAATGAGTTGAGCTCGCGGTAGGTGCGGCCTGGGCGGCGCTGGCAATCTCCGCCGTGGCCGCAGCGAAACCTGGGAACAGGGCTCGCACACCGAGCGCCGAACTCGGCGCATGCCGCCGCCATGCAGGCCCGCAGTGGCACAAACGGGGCCTCGATGATCTGTGCCCCGTTCGCCATGTGGGCCTGGGGGGGCGGCCTCGGCGTCAGACTGCGACGCGGGCTCGGCGAACCGCAAGCTGGGCTCGGTACCAGGCTGCGGGTCTCGGCGTTGGGCTGCGCGTCGAGCTCGGCGTTGGCTTAAGTCGGGTCTGTCCCCCTACAGGGGGATTTTTGACGAAAAATAAAGAACCCCAACATAGTAAAAACACAAAAAAAAAAGTCCGGGGACAATTTTATGAGTATGCTTTGACATTTGTTGAATATTTTGGGGGTATTCTTTGTTTTCTTCCGTCGAAAATTCCCTTGTAGGGGGACACGCCCGACATAAGAGTTGGCCCCTGCCCATCCTCGCGCTCGGGCAGGGGCTCCGGCGGCCAGACGCACGCCGCTTCAGCCCTGGGCACGCTCCGCCGCGCTGCGGCCCGAGGCGTCCCTCCGTGTTTTGCACGCTCCCCCTGCGCTGCGGCCCGAGGCGTCCCCAGCTCGCCGTGTCCCCGTGACTCCAGTGGCGGCCCATGCTGCCCCCGTTCGAGGCCCGCGGCGTCGGCGACCGACACGTCGAGACCAATGGTGTCCGCATTTAGGGCAACTTTGCGCCGTAGTGCTGCGAACCAATCGGGCCCTCGGCCCTGCAGTTTCGCCAGGAGTGCTGGTAGCAGGGCGCGGACCCGCTGCGCCGCTTCGCTGCTTCCGACCATGGCGTCAAGAGCCTGTCCGGCGAGGGCGAGGCGAGCCTCAGGTAGGAGGGGGAGGAGGATGGAGGGACGGAGAGGAAGCAGGAGAAGGTAAGAGGAGGGAGGAGGAGGAGGAGGAGGAGGAGGAGGAGGAGGAGGAGGAGGAGGAGGAGGAGGAGGAGGAGGAGGAGGAGGAGGAAGAGGGCACCAGGTAGCCAACCCGGGCCACGCGGTCGACTGCCATCTGGGCGGCGGGGCCATCGCGCGCCACAGCGGCGTGCGAGGCACACGGGGGTGGCGACCGAGCAGGACGTCCCCGGTTGGGACAGGGCTGGGCCTGACGGCGCCGCCGAGGCCGCGCGGCTCGACGTGGTTTTCACCGACCCGACCGCCGGCCTGGCATACGCCGACGTCGTGGTCACGAACGCGGCGATGGGCGCCCGCACC